AAGAGCAGAGATGCATAATATATTATTCATAGGCTATACATTTACATGTAAAAGGGCTGAACAAAGTGTACGTTTACAGTGTACATGCACAGTTAAGAAATATTTTGCAATACGTCTTAAAGTGGTCTAAGTAAAATCAGAAGTAGAAAAAGAAACTGAAAATTCTGTATCATCTTTTCTGATAAATAATTCGACAAATTGAGAATGAACAACTGCCTTGAACTAGGAAACTGAACGTAGATGACCCTGGTTCTATGGTCTCACGGCCGTTCTAGTACAAGGTAGGGTTTGCGTTACACAGACTGTACCCTGCACTTACCGAATCCTTGCTCCCCCCGCCCTCGAGAAAACGCCTTTTCACACTTGTCTGATCGTCCTCGATCATCAAGATCACTTTGGATATTGTTTCCAATAGGTATATTCACGAGGCAAAACAACCTGTCACTGGAATTCGGCATTTCCATCATGTAGATGAGTACCTTATTTGCACCTTAGTATGGTCTACGTAACCTTGTTTGTTTTATTATTTACCGTAGCATTACGGTAATGCTTTCTTGTTTCTATTTTTTACTTGTATCTTAGTATACTCTACCTCTCCTTGCTTGTTTGAACTTGTGGCGTTAATATAACCCACCTGTTCGTGTTAGTTTCATCACTTATCGTAATATAGCCTACCTATCCTTTATTGATTTAACTCGTAACTCAATATACACTCTCTCTTGTTTTTTATTTATCTGTTTATTTATTTTTTTCTAATATCCATCCGTCCTTATTTGTTTCATCTTGTATTTTAATTTGTTTTATCTATCCTTGATTTCTTTCTATCATATAGCTATATACATATTACCTAGCCTTGATTTTCTTTACTTTTATTAGGAAAACATGAGAGGAAGGGAGAGGAGAAGGGGGGGGGTAGGAAGATGAAAATAAAAGAGTAAAGCGATAAGACGAGGAATGGGGAACGGGAGACATGGGTAAAGCAGGATAAAGGAAAGGGAAAGAGGATTATTAAAGCAACAAGGATTAGGGGAAAAAGGGAAGAGGAAGAATAATGATTTAGGGGAACGAAAGAGGAAATGAAATTCAAGATAAGAAACGGAGGAAAGATATGAGATCGAGAAGAAAATGGGCTCGAGGATAAGAAAACAAGAAGAAAAAAACATCTGATTGAGGAAAGAAAATTGAGGAAGAAAATGAAACTTAAGAAAATGAAGATGATATTGAGAATAAGCAAAAGATATTGATGATTAAAAAAATGCGGAAAAATGAGAGCGAAGATAAGAAAAAGAAAGAGAAAAAGAGGTTGAGTATATGGAAATAAGAAAGAAAACGAGAATAAAAAGTAGACGTAGGAGTAAAAAAGAGAAATGATAATAAGAAGGAGAGTAAAAAAAAAAAAAAAAAAAAACAGATAAAGAAAATTTTCAATAGTTAGAGAAATAACAACGAGAAGATAGTAAAAAAGAGGAAAGGGGTGATGGGGTGTATTATCCGCCTCAGATATTAGACACCTTCGATTTTGGATACATTTTCGAAAATTAGATGAGGGTTGGCAAGCTTTGTCATCTGGTCGGATGTGACGCCCACACGTACAGTGGACGGTGGTGGTGGTGGTGAGGGGGGGGGTGTCAAGGTAGGCGGGGGTTGCTCTCTTTTTATTAATATTTCTTGAGTTTCTTTTGTTATCGGCTACATCTGCGCATATTCGAGTTCATTACAGTCAGGGAGAACATGCTATATTTTATCAGTTATATATAAAAATGGTATTATGGATCACTTGCTTCGCTATATCTACTGTTACTGTTGATAATTCATATATTGCTTTATTTATTCTTACATACAGATGATTTTTCTTCTAACATTATATTTGGTATCCTCAGCCTCGTCTAAAAAGATAGATAAAATATTATCGTATTGTAATTCTCTTCCTGAATATCAAAAGTATATATATATATATATATATATATATATATATATATATATATATATATATATATATATATATGTATATGTATATATATACTTATATATATGTACAGACACACATGTATATATGTATGTACATATATATATATTTATATATATATTCACACACACACACACACATATATATGTATATATATATATATATATATATATATATATATATATATATATATATATATATATATATATATATATGTATGTATATATATATATATATATATATATATATATATATATATATATATATATATATATATATATATGCATATATATATATATATATATATATATATATATATATATATATATATATATATATATATATATATATATATATATATATATGCATATATATATATATATATATATATATATATATATATATATATATATATATATATATATATATATATATATATATATATATATATATTGCTAACGATGTAGTCATTGCCATTCGCTTTATGCTCAACATTACCATCATTTTTCCGTGATGTCCAGGCCTCGTATCAGA